ACTATAAACAGTCATTATAGTAAAGTATTTGGGAGAGCATTTTCTTGAAAAATATATCACTTAAGTCTATAATTGTGTTTGGCATGGGAGGTTCATTCACTGACAATAACTTCACTGGGCTAGTTCAGGTTAACTTATTTGGTACCTGTATTAGTCAGTTTTCCTATTTCTGAACCCATTACCCACAATTTAAAGGAAGAGAGGTTTAATTTGGCTCTTAGTTTCAGAGGATTCAGTTCATGGTTGGCAGGCTCCAAGGCAAGAACATCATGGTGGAAAGGTATGTAGAGCAAAGCTGTTCAGTTCATGGTGGCTCAGAAGCACAGCAGGGGAATGGTGCCAGAGAAGGGGAGAGGAATCAGACACAGACCTCAAGGCCAGGCATTTATAACACACTCAGATACACCAGGAAGTGTGCTCCACCAGTCTCCTGGAGAGATCCCAAAGCCAAACAGGTTGACACTGTACCCTAACAACCACAGTACCGAAAGACAGGTTGGAATCTTTTGAACTGGCATTATCTCTTCAGAGGTCCTTCTTTAGAGGGGAAGAAAAGTTGTTTTGTAAGGAAATATAATTATGATAACAAAGTAACTTTGAAAGTCAGTAAGATTTGTGGCCAAATGATGACATTGGCCTTATTTTCCAACCTATCCAACCTCCCCCCCATGAAACTTAGCAGAGCTACTAGAATACCAAAAGAAAAATTGATTAAAGTAGAAAAGGGAAAGTGAAAACCCCAGTAGAATGAAAAAATCAAAAGTATTTTTTAAAAATACCAGATATTGGGCTGGGGATTTAGCTCAGTGGTTTCACCACCTGCTGCACAAGTGCAAGGACCAGAGTTCGATCCCTGGTACCAAAACAAACAAACATACAAACAAACAAAAAAACCAGATATAGAAGATAGGCAAAGAAGATCCAATAGATGCGTAATATAATCCTCCTCCCCACCAAAGGAATTCAAGACAGTGGAATAGAAATGATTAAAGAAAATTCTCCTAAAAACAAGAAGAGGATTTGAGCCCAAATATGTGAAGGAACAAATGACCAAGAACAGTCAATACCAAGGCAAAGTCTATTAAAATTATTAAATGATATAAAACAGAAATCTCTACAGCATAAGCTAAAAGATTAAGCAGTTTATATGGGGTTAAGTCTTTTCAGGATACTTTTAAATTAAAACACAGTGGAGTAAATGGAATCACGTAGAATAGATACCCAAGAAAGAAAATGTGATCCAAGGATTTTAAAATTCATCCAAAGTGATCTTCAAGTACCAAGGTCACAAAGTATGATGGAAATGACAGAAACCAAGGAACTTTGCTCCTGCATTCCTTCCCAAGTAATTCACTAAGCAAGCCGCAGACCATGAAGAAATATTTGGGAAGCTCTTCATTAGGATTAAGAGTAATTAAAGGAAATGAGGATGAAAACTACTATATACAGCTTGGGTTATCATTTATCTGAAATGCTTTGGGATCAGAAGTGTTTTAGATTTTGGATTTTTTATTTTGGAATATTTACATACTCTGTATACAATTGAGATAACTTGACAATGAGACTCAAGTCTATAAATGCAATTCATTTGTGTTTCATATGTATTTTATACCTGTAGCTTGAAGGTAATGTCAAATATTTTCAATAACTTTGTGCATAAAAGAAAGTTGTACACACCAAACCATTAATGTGACTATGATCTCCCAAATGAGGTCAGGTACAGCATTTTCCACTTGTGGTATTGTATCAGTGCTCAAAGAATTTCAGACTTTGGAGTATACTAGATTTCAGATCTTTGGATTAGGGATGTCTAACCTCTATCTGTAATATTCTCTGATAATGAAGATATAATTCAGCTATCAAAAATGGGGAGAGGAGCTGGAGATTTAGCTCAGTGGTTCTGCTGCCTGCCTCACAAGCACAAGGTCCCGAGTTCAATCCCCGGTACCAAAAAAAAAAAAAAAAAAGGGAAGAGAATAGTCAGAAGATAAGCCTGATGGATACCTTAAGGTATTATTTAGCACTTAAATGTTATCACTTTTGATGCTCTGGAAAGAAGGAGAAGGGGGGGAAGAAGATGTTACTAATTCCAATATTGTTTATTATAGGGAACCAAAATATGTGCACCTTCCAACAGGCTGGCTAACAGTCACATGTGGCTATTTATACTTAGTTAACATTTATAAAAATTGACGCCCCGTTACTCACTCACACAAGCCACATTTCAAGTCCTGCATAGCTACATGTAGCTGTGGCTACCACACGGAACAATGCAGATACATCAAGAGGCCTTTGTACAGCAGTACAACTGTCTGAAGTTTTCATAAAAACATAAGTGACGATATTACCCTGAAATATTAGGAACCATGGAAACAAATGCAATGCCAAGGGGAAAAAGAATTTAGAAAACAGGCAGCATAGAGGAATATTTTATACATATATAAAGAAAAACAAACAATACTAAGACCAAATAAGTGAAAATGGGTTTAATTCACCAATTCAGAAAGCGCAATAAAATCCAATAAACATACACGTATGTTCTCCCTCCTCGCTCTATGTGAATGTATGAAACATATTTAGGAAACATCCCTAACACAAAGAAATTCAGATGGCGACAAAAACATGAGGCAAATGAGGATCAGTAGAAGCCAACACACAGCTTGTGATCTTGACACAGGCCATGGCGGAAATCTTTCCAAGAAACACTTAGAGACAAAGGCTCGCAGGCTGTGATTCACCAGGCATAAAATCAATATTCATAGGGCCAGTACTACGGCAACTTTATGAAGCATAAGAGATTAAAAGAGAAGAAGGAAATACACCCCTCACAGGAAGCGTTTATGTAACTTTCCGGGCTAAGATAAATCAAATGGACAAAAATCAATGATTGAGATCATAGAAAGCCTAAGCATATTAACAGCAGAGCAGAAATTCTCTCCCTGTACCCAGCTGAGGGCAATCCCTTTTCAAATGTGCATGGAACAGTCTCAAAACTTGAGCATATTAGGCCATGTGAATAATTAAGTAAATTAAATATAACATCTTGACTTCTGGGTCATAAAACTATAAATTAATAACAAAACTTACAAACCGAAAGGCCCTTCTACTTGAAATTTTTCGGGAGATGTTGCTGGGGGTTGAACCCAGGGTCTTGTGCTCACTAACCACACATTGTACCACTGAGCTACATCCCCTATCTGAAAAATTCACGACACCTTCCTAAGCTGAGTGCAGTGGCACTCGCCTATAGTCCCAGTTACTTGGGAGGCTGAGGCAGGAGGATTGTGAACCACTGAAGCTAGCTACTCTGGGCAACACAGCAAGACCTTGTCAGAAAGGAAGGGAAGGAAAGACCTTCTTAAACATAGATCGAGGACAGTGGTGGTGAACCTGTGGCTCCTGTGCCACAGTGGGCTGTTTGTAGCATTGAGAGGGCTAAAAGGTTCGCCATCACTGGTCCAGGGCAAACCATGTAAGTCTGGAGGAAATAAGAAAAATGTGGAAGTTTTTGAAAATAATGGTAATGAAAAATGACACAGTAGAATCTGACATACAAGAAACGGTGAATATAAAAAAATTTAGTCTTAAAAATCTATATGGAAATAAATCAGGCACACAAGCTTGAATATTGCAAGGCTTCTCTTCTGTGGAATCCCAAAGTATAAAGAACAAAATAAAAGATAATGGGAAGTAGGGAGATAGATTGTTCTCAAGGGGAAAGGAGATCAGGGGGTGGGGCGGGGAAAGAAGGAAAGGATGGAACAGGAGTTAGGCTGTGTCATGTAAATGTACCAACTCCACACAAGGAGTGCAAACGTTATGTGCAGCAGGTACAAAAAAAGAGGAAGGGCATGAAGAGATGGACAGAGGGGAAAGGGAGGGAAGGAAAGGGGATGAAAACACAGAATTAAGATGTATTATGCACAAGTGCCAATTCTCTACAAGGAATGTAAACATTGTGCACTACAAAGATGGGTCAATAAAAAAAGAAATTAAAATTTCTTATACCAAACTCCTGCCCTGCCCTGCCCTGCCCTCATGTCTCCTTGTTCCACTTCCTTTTCGATGTGCTGCTTCTTTCACTACTGTATCCAGAGCACCCAGCACAGCCCCAGTGGTGAGCAAGTATTTGGTAAACAGAATGTTGCAACAGATGTTCCTCTTCCTGGGCCCTGTGTCCCCAGGGCTAAAACGAGGTCTCCGAGTTCCTCCTGCTCGGGCATCAGTCAGGTTCTGTCCCCTGACAGAGGCATCTGTACCGTAGACTGCAGTGTGAAAGGCAAGGGTTAGGAGCACAAGAGATGTCGCCCTGTCCCTGTTGTGCTCATCTGTCCAGAATGTAAGAGGATGTGGTGTTTCTCTTGTGCTGTTCCCATAAGCAACGTTCTATCCACCCAGCCCCACCCCTCCTGCCCTCTCGGGTCTCCCCCGTGAAGAGGTGGACTGAAGTCACACAGGAGTGGGACCCAGGACTCCACTGGCTTCCTGTGGAAGGTGTCCCCCAGTCCTGCTGAGATCCTTCGTGAAGGTGTGGGAGGGCAGGCAGAGTGGGCTGTGCTGGGCTGCGCATGAGTCATGGAGGTGGGAGGGGCGTCTGTATCAGAGGTGTGTGTGTGTGGGGGGTCTCCTGCTGGGGGTGACCACAGGAACTGCCCAGGGAAGGACAGACCTGGAGTTCAGGCAGGGAGGGGCAGAGCCGGCGGGCTAAGGATTCACGGAGGCAGCAGTGTGACAGGGTGGGACTGGACACAGGAGCTCAATTCCAGAAGCTGCCCACAAAGCCGTTCTGAAGTCCCTCACTCTAGTCCTACCTCCAGGACACAGGTTCTGAGAGAGCTGGATTACTCTAAGGGAAAACCCTCAGGGCTATTTCCAAAGTGTCTGAAATGCACCAAGTCCCAGGCACTCTTTCTCAGTCAGTTCCTGGTGCCGTGACAGGGCAACTGCCTCTTTTCCTTGCTCACCACCAGGATGCGGGTCAAAGCGAGCAGCAGACTCAGTACGAGTTATACAAATCATTATGCATTTAATTTGTCAGCATTACAAAGTATTCATGCCACATCCAATCTCATGACGCCTGTGTGTGCGTATACTTGTCAAAGAGGGAAGCCTGACCCCTCTCCCTTCTAAGATGGGCAACCCGCAGGTCCCCATGCTGATTGCCTGCCCAGCCTCTCTAAATGCCAGATGCTGTGGGCCACGGACCAGCAGGTCAGGTATGAGCCTGCAGGGTAAAAGAGGCTTTGCAGGCCAGGTGCACAGGCCTAGCACCTGGAGAGGAGGCTGGTCTGGCCTGGATGCACAGAGCTGACGGGACAGAATGGAAATGGTCTCGGGGTGTGAGCACGCGAAGGAAGAGAGACTGAACATCATCTGCTGGCTGGGAAACCGGAGGCACAGTAGGGCTGGGCCCTGGAAGAAGTGATATGGACGCGGGTCCTCGCTGGTGCCACCTGCCAGGGCAGCAGCGGGGCTGAGGGCTGAGGGAGCCCAGAGGGCTGTGGGCAGGTCCTGCAGCCTGGGCAGGGCCATCCTCCGGCGGGCATCTCCTCCCAGCACAGTGAAGAACACACGGGACCAGACAACAGGGTGAACACAGCACAGACGTCCACTGCAGGCCCAGGGCGAGCAGAGTCAGAACTGCAAGGCCTAGGGAGGGGCAAGAGGACAGGGTCAGAGGCAGTGGGCAGGAGTGCATGGGGGCTGCTGGGGCTGGCCAGGGGCTGAGCCTCACCGTGCCCCGAATGGAGCAGCCAACGGGATGACCGGGCAATGGGCTTTTTGAACACCGAGTGCTGTTAAGAAGGTGCCAGTTGCGATCCATGCACTGCAGCTGGGAGGGAGCCCGGGGCTGCCCAGAAGGCTCTGCTCTGGAAAAACAGGGCACCCGAGAAGCCTGCCGGCCTGGGGACCCTCTGGGGCAGCAGTGGGGAGGGGCGCTCCTTCCTCCCAGGAGGCTGCTCAGACTCCGGATAAGGGACGGGCCCAGGTGCTCACCGAGTCAAGGTCACTCCTGGCTGGGCATCTTCTCCAGGAGGATATCTTCTGTACCGCAGAACTGAGGGCAGGAGGGGAAGGAGAAGGGGTGATCAGACCGGAGCCCCGGGACCCCACTCTGTCCTCGCCAGGTCCTCACTGGTAGGACGTGGGTATGGCACAGCTTCAGCCTATCACTACCAGAGTGAGACTTCCTGCACCCCAAGGGCTTCTGTTGGGGACCTCAGGACCGCCAGGCCTTCAATTCTAGCTCCTGTCTGGCCCAGCCCTTTATAAACCTGCAGCTGTGAATCCCTCCATTATTTCAGCTTTTGGTGCTGTGGTGGAGGGAAAAACAGGCACAGAGTGGATAGGGCAGGGCCACTGAGACCCCCGCCTGTCCCTGGGGAGCCACGCTTGCCTCTATGTGATACACTATTCGCCAGATGGAGTCGTCATTGGCTCGGTATTTCCTTTCAGAGTCCTGCTGCCACATCAGAGGGAGCGGGCAGGAGGTGAGCTGGCTGGGACTCAGGGGGTCCCCGACTTGGATCCTTTGCTGACGCAGGAGCACCTGCTGGTTATTCTCTGTCTGCAGAGGAAAGACAAGGTACACGTTCAGGTCCCACTCACCAGGCTCCTCTCCAGGCCCAGTGACTGGCCAGAGTCCTTCCTGCCCCACGCAGCCCCAGCCTGAGCCATAGACGCCAGTGCAAAATGCAGGTGATCACTGTGCCTGATGTGGGCAGTGCCTGCTGCTGGCAGGACTCTGGCTGGGCCAGCATGAAGCTAGCCGCCCAGACAGGGCCACAAAGAGCATGCTTGTTCTGCCAAGCTTCCAGGGCTGGTGTGGGCCATATGGCCCTTGGCTTGGTACCTGTTTAACTAGCATGGGGCTTTGATTTTTCATTTTGTTCTATTTCTTCCTTTAGACAAGTCATCCTGGAATTCCAGATTCTTCACCCTCCCTACCCCCTACCCCCTACCATCCTTTGTCTCCTGCACTACAGCAGCTACCTCCTTCCTGACTTGTTGTCTTGCTGCTCTTGGTCCATAGCCAGGTCCCTGCAAATCAGCCAGGCTGAGCAGCTGAAAATCACAGCTCTTCCAATGCTCGACGGTTTCTGATCATGGGCAGAGCAATTCTGCACCTTTACTGAGGCCCACAAATGTCCTCCCAGGCCCACGAAGCAGGCCCTGCCTCCCTCCACTCTGCTCCGGCCACACTGACCTGCTGGCCACCTCGGGGACCCACCACACTCAGACCTGCCTCCACCAATCCCTCCCACCACTGCCCTCCCTGCCTGGAGCCTCGCCCACATGACACAGCTCAAAGCCCTCCTCTAGGCCGGCCTCTGCTCAAGTGTATGTCCATTAAAGACAGACAGGACACGGGACTGGATGGGCACCAAACAGTTTTATCAGGAACTGCCAACAACACTGCCACCTCCCACAGTTATTTTTCTTATGAAACTGAACCCAGCTTTATTCTCTAGCCTGTCTCCCCCAGCTGTGTCGTTTTCGCAGAACTCTCACACCCACGTTTATCCAGTGAGTCTCCAGGAGTCCCCACGTTTATTCAGTGAGTATAAATCAAGTGCTAGCATTTGTTCAATGCGTATTTTTCCAAAGTGAAAACAGTTTTGTAAAAGTTTCTACCAATAAAATAAATTAGAATTTACCGTTTAAAAAAAAAAAAATCAGCTCATTCTGCAGGTGTAAGTGCCCTGGAAATCACCATTCTCCAGTGTTATTTCTTTAGATCCTTTAACCACTTTGTTTCAATTATACATCTTTGTCTTGTAAATTAACTAAATCACTACTTATCAAGAACAATGTTTCTTTCAACTGTGAGAGGCAAATCATGCCTTGAACTTTGCTAAAGGGTTATTTTTCAGAGGGCACTCACCAATACTATGAAAAACTGTTGGGTTTGTGGCTTTGGTGAGAAAATATTTCCTAGTCAGAGATTTAAAATGAGATCTACCAAAAATTGTTAAGACTTGACCAAAAAAGAAGAAAATATTTAAATTGTTTAGGCCTCCCTTCCAAGTACTAACCAGGCTCAACCCTGCTTACGTCCTGATCAGACAAGATTGGGCAGTATGGCTGTAGATTTAAATTGATTTTTTTAAAAAAGGATATATTTAGGTGTTATCTTTTTTTTTTTTTGTACCGGGGATCGAACTCGGGTCTTTGCGCTTGCGCAGCAGGCGGCGGGTGTGTGTGTGGGGGAGTATATATTTAAAAAACTGAAATGGCAATAAAAATGCAAATTTAGGTTGCAGTTAAAAGCCTGAAATTGCAAACCCCGGGTTGATCACCTGGGGCAAGTTTACTTTTTAAACTTCAGTTTCATCTGCAAAACGGAGACAAAGTGTCCCGGCATCAAAAAAAAAAAAAAAAAGGAGACAAAGTGTCTCTGTTTGCTATCATGTTTCATAAATATTCTACTAGTATATATTTTAACTTTGCTTTTCCATCTTTGGTTTATGTATGGAGAGTTTCACCATTTTTTGCTTCAGTTGCTTTTAAGCTCAGCTCTGATTAGAAGTACTTAAAGGAAATATGTATGTTTGCAGTACTAGGGATTGAATCTAGGGCCTCCTATATGCTAGGCAAGTGCTTTACCACTGAACTACATCCCCAGCTTTTTTTTTTTTTTTTAATTTTGAGGCAGGCTTTCACTAATTGGCCCAGACGGGCCTTAGACTTGCGATCCTCCTGCCTCAGTCTACTGAGTGGCTGCATTCCAGCCATGTTTTGAGTTATATTAAAAAAACAAAAAAAAGTAACAACTAAAGATCCATGACCCCCAGGCAGCACGCACTCCACGCCGGGTTGTTCCCCAGCGTCAGGGAGGTATGAATACCCCTCACCCTGAGCCTTGGTTATCAATCTAGTGAGGGAGCTTTGTAAATTGGAGGTTCCTAGGCCAGCTTCAGGAGATGCTGGTAATTAGCCCAAGTGCCGATCATTTACTTTAAAGATGTTCCTGTTGTATGGATTAGGACGGGAAGCTCACCACCTCACCGGATCCTCTCCTCGGCCCACGCCCCCCGTGGTTTGCCCACCCTCCTTCCTAGCTAGGTGGGGCGGGGGAAGGGGGCAAGGCAAACAGCAGAGTGCGGCCCGTGGCAGCTTCAGAGAGCGCTGGGTGACTGGGAGGAGGGTGGAGTTGCGGGGCCTCCCAGCTCCCTCTCCCCGTAGGCCAGGAGGGCTCCTGCGGCCTCAGGGCAGGCTGTACCTGGAGGATTATCGGTAGCCAGGTGCGCCGCTGCTCATCCATAAACGTGACCTTGTCCCATATCCACAGGCGGTTGGGGTCCTCGGTTATATACTTTACCCGCTTGTTGAAGAACAAGGACTCTGCCATGGCGCCTGAGCAGTGCAAGAACAAAAGCGTAACCTCGGAAGGCCGCTCGCTAACCTCAGGGATGCTCCACAGCAGCTTTATAACCCAGGACCGCCGGGCGCCCCCTTGCGGCGGGGCGAGAGGAAGGCGGGGCACAGGGCGTGGCACGAGGCTGGCAGGCGGGGCGCACGTGGGAGCATGAGGCAGGTGGGCCGCGAGAGGGCAGGCGCAAGGTGAGTGGGCCGGGAGATGAGGCCAGAACTGCTTCCTGGAACCCTGGTAGAACCCAGGATGGGGCACAGCCCCACGAGGCCCGGGCTCCCCAAGGCCTCAGCCAGCCTTCCCCTCTTGGCACTCCTCTGCCTCGTGGAGGGGTACTCAGGTCTCGGCCCTTTCCGCTCATGGGGGAAGCTGCCGCCCTCTGCTCCTCTTGGACTCTGCAGTCTTAGCCACTGTGTGTAGCTGTTCATGCCTCACCCAGAACCCAGGCTTCCTAGTGGACGTTAGGCAATCCAGAGCCAGGGCCCCCTTTGCCTCTTCAGGGATCAGAAGAGACCCGCAGCTCCCCGCAATCACCTTCAGCCTGGGGTTTTGGGGTGTCAGAGTCAGTTTTCTTGGGAGAATGTGACTCGAGCTCTCTTCCCTCTCCCCCAGGCAGAACGTGCATTTTCCATGACTTTGATGATACTGTGGTCATCTAATGGCCATTGCGAAACATGGTGTGGAAGAAACGTGGGTTTTCCCTTTATTCTTTGAATTAGTGAATGTATCGCTTGAGATCAATGTGTAAAAAGAAGCCCCGGCCTCCAGCCCAAGGTCAATGGATTTGAAAAGTCCCTAGGTTCTATGATCAAACCCATCTTTTTGTAAATTGAAATAAAGAAGCCAATTGCACTTTATTTTGCTGTAACACATGCCCATTAAGACAATTAAGAAAGAAAAGTGTAATGAGAAACATGAAAACCAGCTCCTGGCTTATTGCTCCAGCAGCACTGCACCTAGCTACTCTCTGACAAGGCACTAAGAAAACAATTTGTGATCTTTGAAATGTCACACAAATGACCTGATCCACCTGGCAAGTGGGGTTCTGCTCTGCCCATGTAGATAGCAAGATGCGCAACGCGGAAGTGGCCTCCAAAGAGCGCAAATGAAGGACAAAGCCAAGTGCAGCAGGGGGTAGGGCAGAGGCTGTGAGGCCAGCAAACTTCTCTTCCAGTGGGGTCTCAGTGGTGCTGTTGTTTAAAATTCAAAGCTTTTTGACTCCAGCCCCAGTTAACCATATAATAAGATGAAAACCTTGAGAATAAGCTTTGTTGGAGAAAGTCTCAGCCACATCCAGAGCTCTGAGGTTAGAACAGTGGCATTGGGACGCTTTTGTATGTAAGGGAAGGGGTCCCTGAGGAGCCAGTGTGGCCACTGAGCTAGCCACATGGACGGCCCAGGATCAAGGATGCAACTGAATTTGCCTATTTCATTTGCACTCACTGTTTTTCTAAGGGGCAACAAAGAAAGAAAGAATGGAACAAATCAGATCCCTGGCTGGATAAGTTTCTGAATGTTCTGGGAATATGATTCCCTTTTCCTTCACTTTGAAAAAAAAATTGCTTTAATTTTGCACAAGGGCTTCTTTACATCGAGCAAGAATATACATCATTATTGTGTGGGATTTAGAAAATTATTTAGAAAGAGGTTCCAAAAAATGAAAATGAAATAAGGATGACTGAAACTTTCAAAGGCAGCTTCTGTGGAGCCCCAGGCCCCTGCTCATGGAAATTCCTCAAGAGGGAAAACAATAGCTATTGTGTGGTCTCAGACAGAGGAGTCTCCCCATCGTGTTATCTACCCCATCTTAGGGCTCCAGGGCCAGTCAGCCTTGCTTTAGAATTTTCTGTTCCTCTCCAAGTTTTTCCTTTATTAGTCAACAAGTTCTCTGGGGACACACAAGTGGCGGTTCCCCAAACAATCATTTTGACAGGATTCCTTAATTGCTGCTTTTGAGTCCCACCTTAGGACCAGTTTTGACGGTACCACTGTCACCTATGAACTTGGCAAATCCTTGCCAACCTGGCCTCAAGTGCCCCAGTTTGTAATGAATAGGCTGAGCTAGATGCGCTGTAAGCTTATTTCTCATGCATCAGTCTCTGATCCTCCAATAAAGTTGCCCAGTGGGAGGAGGGAACAGTTAACGGAAGAAAACTCCTAACACTGCTTCATGGAAGCCTATGGTTTTGAGCACATATTTGAGAACTCAATCCCAAGGACCTCTGTAGAATCTGCTCTTCAGGAATGAGGAGGCCATCCTTCTTGTTTGTATCCCAGAAGTGAGTTCAGAGTGAGTCATGACTGCCAGGATAATCCACGGAGTCTCTAAGCAGCACCTGGAGCTCATGAGGACTGCATAACGAGAGCCCTTTGCAGGCTTCGTGAGTCAGACTCTTCACTGCTCAAGACCCCAGGTGATTTGTGGACAGGGCAGGATAAGATCTGACCTATGGGGAAGGATACCGATGTCTCTACGAAACAGGAGAAATGTATGTGTTTTTGTTTCATTCAATTCTAAGCTATTTTATTCTCTATCAAAGTGTATTCGAATATACAAAGTATTTTCTTCTTAACAGGAAATCCTGGTCACAAGTTTATTCCAATTATGGCCACTGATTGCAGCAAGCTGTAAAGAGACGACACAGAAGCTACGCTGGTGTCCTGGCCAGTGGGCCCTTTAGTAACTGGCCCAGTCCACCAACATTCACCGGGGAAGCTCTAATAAAATACCTGGGCCTAGGTCCCATCCCCGACCGAGTATATCAGAATCTCTGAGATTGAAGCTTGAGTATTATAACTTTTAAGAGAGCTTCTTGGGTGATTCTACCATACAATGAGGCATGAATACCATTGCAGTAAAATCCGAGTTACTATTTTTGAGGTGTGAACAGATTTACAAAACTAAATAACTATGAAAATGTCAAAGCTCTTCTTTCTACCATTAGTTTTCATTGTAAACTTTGCCCCAATCCCATATTTTACTTTTTTCCCTTTGCCCTACTTTAAATTTGCTGCTTACAGTCTTTGGTGGACAGGGAACTGGAACACCAAGTTCATTAGAACTATAAGGATCTGAGACCTCACAGAACCCTTGATAAGTGACTCCTAGGACCTGAGCTAGTGTTCAGAGAGGTTTTTGGTTATTCTTAGATCTAGACCATATCTTAGATAATTAAAACTGTTGATCAAGTGAGCTCAGGGTACAGAGAAGTTACTGCCTTTACTCCTAAGGACTGGAATTGTATGTTGTCTTTATTAATGGAGAATTTGGGATAAGGATATTCCAATTAGAAGTCAGACTGACCCTAGCTTTGCCACTGCTTGGCTGCTATCTCTCCCTTTAACAGAGTTTTAAAAGTTTTAAATGTTTCCCTTGCTTTAAGATGTACACAGGGACCTTGTTAGAATGCAGATTTTAATTTCAGTAGGTTTGGGGCAAGCCTCAAGATTCTGCATTTTTAAACTATTCCTTGGTGAGGTAAATGCTAATGGCTTACAAAACACCTCCTGGTAACAAGGCCCTATACCAATGGTGGCGAACCTTTGGCACATATGTTATTTGTTTTTACGACAAAAAATGTTAATGTATGAGTTTTTTAAAAACTAAAACCTCAGTATTCAGATTCAATTGCATTGTTGGCACTTTGTGATATGTGGGTTTTGGGTTGCCATTTGGGTACTCATTTCTAAAATGTTCACCATCACTACCTTATATTAATCTCATCATACCCCCAATCCATGCACAAAACCCAAATGCAAAACCAAAACACAACCCATAATCATCAAAATGTACACAATAGTACACAATACTTGACCCTTACCAGCGGGTGAGTGAGAAGCATGTAGTAGGATTGCAGTGGGTGGTTTGGAGAGAAATGTGGCTCCCTGAATTTGTCCAGAGGCAAATTTGCTAAATTTGTATCAGAAACGAGATTATTCCATACTTTGGATGGTACTGGTGGTACTATCAGAATGGTTCTTCTAGTTCCCCTCAGTTCTTTAATTTCACTTGGTGGCATTAACTTCCCCTCAGAAAAATATTTCTTATGCAGTATCTCTTTATTTTACTCCCTCCTAAAAGACTGGCTGACAATCTTCCTGCTTCTAGCATATAGAGACAGATAAATATGTTGACTATGACTGCTTTTAGCTTTCACACTGAAAACGTCCTTTGTGCCATTTACAAAATATCTCTTCACCTAGCTTTTCAATTTTAAAGAAATTTTATATAGAATTCTAGTCAATTAATATGGTTTGTCTTTATATTTTTGTATCTGAGATATAAAAATATATACACACACACATAAGAATCTAGTTATATCTTTTTTCCAGTTTTTTAGCCAGTCTCTCAAAGGCTGCTGAATAATGTATCTTTCTACACAAGATTTCTTATACCATTACTGTAAAATACCAAGTTTCCATGTAGAAATGGGTCTGGGTTTATTCTGTCCCTTTTGTTTGTTACTATGGTAAAACTACACTTCTAAAGAAATCATTATGAATTTGAAATACTTGATGGGATAGGTCCTATGTCTTTGTTCTTTTTCAAAATTGTTTTAGCTATTCATGAAATTTTGCACCTCTGCATTTCTTCTTACTGCTTTTTGGGATTTTTATTGGCCTTTCATTGATTTTATACATTGGGGAAAATCTGTTCTTTAATGGACTTTTAAATTATCTTCCACAGAAGTGTGTATACTTTTGTTTGGTGTTATTTCTACTTATTTTATAGTTTTGTTGTTTTCGTGATTGGTATTTTTCAATGCTACTTTCTGGCATATAGGAATGTGTCTTAGTTACTTCCCTCTTTGCTGACAACATACTCAATACTCACAGTTCAAGGGAGGAGAGATTTATTTTGGCTCACGACTTGTGGAGGTTTCCGTTTATGGTCAGCTGGCAGGGCAGGGCAGGTGCAGCAGGATAGGAGGAGCTGTTAGGGCTTGACTGTGGGAAAGAGAGGATGAGAGAGACTGAAGGGAAGAGGTTAACACTTCCAGGCCAGACCCACAGAAGAGTGACCTACTGCTTCCCACCGGATCCTACCTCCTAACATCAAGTCAGCCACAAACACATCCGTGGCCAAATCCACTGATGATATCATGTGCCACAAAGTCCAGCCTATGAGACATGAAGCTTTGGGGACATCTTGATATGAACCACAACAGAATGCTACTGAATTTTGCTGTTGATCTTGCACTTAGCATCTCTGCTAAACTTGCATATTAGTTTTAATGGTTAATTTGTTTGTAAATGAGGCTTTTTTCCCCCCTCTCTTTTTTTCCCATCATCTCTACCTCTGTATCTGTCTTTCTCTCTATCTGTCTTTCCGCCTCTCTGACTTTTGGTGTTTGTTAGATACAACAAATAACCAGAGTCAGTGGTGGACATATCTGTCTGTTTCTGCCTCTAGTAAGAATGCTTCTAAAGTTTGTGCTGTTGGCTATGTTTTGGCACATATGCTTTGCCAGGTTCAAGAATGCCCTACTGTTGCTAGTTTTTGTGCCTTCTCTATATCCTCATAATGCAATCTTGGTAGGTTATACATTTATACATTTCTTCTAGGTCATCTAAACTGTCAGCATATAGTTAATTGCCTGTGCTCATCTCAGGATCCTTTGTATTTCTGTGCTATCAGTTGTAATGTTTCCTCTTTCATTTCTGATTCTATTTAAATCAACTTTCTTGTTTCTTAGTCTAACTAAAGGATTATACATTTTTTCTTTTCCTAAAACCAGCTTTTAGCTTCTTTACTCTTTTCTGTTGCTTATCTAGTCTCTATTTCATTTATTTGTTTTCTAATCTTTATTATTTCCTTTCTTCTACTAACTTTGGGCTTAATATGTCCTTTTTCAAGTTCCATGAGGCACAATGTTAGTTTTTTTATTTTTTTGAGGTCCTTCTTTTCTTATATAGGAGCTTACGCTTATGAACTTCCCTCTTAGAATTGGTTTTGCTGCTGTGCATATATTTTGGTGTGTTGTGTTTCTATTTTCATTTGTTTAAAAATATTTTAAAATTCCTCTTTGTCCCACTGGCTGTCTATGAGCATGTTGTTTAATTTTCATATATTTGTGACTTTTTAAAATTCCTCCTATTATTGATTTTTAGTTTCATACCATTGTGGTTAGAAAAGATGATTGATATGATTTCAATTTTTATAAATTTGTTAAGACTTGTTCTGTACCTAATGTATGAACTATTGCGGAAAATGTTCTGGGTGGGTGCTTTTGACAAAAATTAATTTTGTAGGAGAGAATGTTCTGTATATACCCATTAGGTCCATTTTTTCTAACATGTAGTTCCAGCCCAATGTTTCTGTACTGATTTTTTCCTCTGGATTATCTGTCTATTGAAACTGAAGTATTAATATTCTCCACTAATGTATTTAATGTCTCTTTCTTCAGGTCTATTAATATTGGGCTCATATATGTAGGTGCTCTGATGTTGGATAAATATTTATTTGCAATTATTTTTATCTTCTTGATGAATTGTCCCTTTAATTATTATGTAATGACTGTGGTCATCTATTTTCAGGTGCTGTAACAAAATACCAAAAGATGGGTTCTTTATAAAGAGAAAGGGTAAGTCAAGCTCACAGTTATGGAGATTCAGAAGCATGCCACCAGTACCTGCTAGGTTGTGGTGAGGACTGATTGGCTACATTAGAACATAGTGGGAGTACATGGAAGAGGGAGAGATCACATGGTGGGACAAGAAGTCAGGGCAGTTCAGGGGCCAGGCTTAGTCTTTTCAGAACAACTTGCCCTTGCAGGAGCTAACCACCATCTGCATGAACTACGTCAGTCCCTTCTGATGGTGGCACCTCCAGTGACCTAACCACTTTCATGAGGAGCCTCCTCTTAAGGGCTCTCCAATTCCAAACCACCACACTGGCCACTACTCTTAGGGCACATAAGCCTTTGGTGGGGACACATACTCAAATCATATCCAAACTATAGTAACCTTTTTGTATCTTTTATACAGTGACCTTTTTGTATCTTTTATACAGTTTTTGACTTAAAATCTACTTTATCTGATATAAGGATACTCTTAACTCTTTTTTGCTTCTCTTTGCATGGCATATGTTTTTCTATCCCATCCTTTTTAATCTGTGTGTGTCTTTACAGGTAAAGTGAGTTTCTTTTAGGCAGCATACAGTAGGGTCTTACTTGTTTTTTAAAATCTATTCAGGCACTCTATGTCTTTTGATTAGAGAATTAATCCATTTACATTCAAGGTATTAGTTGTTAGGTAGAACTTACTATTATCATTTTTATCATTGTTTCTTAGCTGTTTAATAGATTCTTTGTTCCTTTCTCTCTTGCCATTTTATTTTGTGATTAAATGATATCTTCTACTAGAAAGTTTTGATTATTAAGCTTTATTTTTTTTTGTTTATCAACTATAGAGTTTTGCTTTGTGGTTACTCTGAGGCATACATAATTATAATTATAATTATAATTATATATAATTATATATAAATATATATAATTATAACAAATTATTTAAACTGATACCAACCTAACTTTGATTGTATAAAGCAATCCTACACTTTTGCTCCCCCTCCCCATTGTATACTTTTTGATGTCACAATTTGCATCTCTTTACATTATATGCATTACTTGTTATCATTTTTAATACTTTTGTCTTCTAAACTTCATATTAAAGGTATTTGATTTATATACCACCCACTAGAGAATTTGAGAATTTTTTTTTTTTTTGGTACCAGGGATCGAACTCAGGATCTTGAACTTGCCAGGCAGGGAGCAAAACCACTGAGCTAAATACCTGGCCCCTGAGAATTTGAGAATTTTTAATTTGACTGTGTATGTACTTTTTTTTATCAGTGATTGTTTTTGCTTTTATATATTTTCATGTTCACAATTAGTATCCTTTTCTTTAAGATTGAAGGATTCCCTTTAGCATTTTTTATAGTGTATGTCTAATGGTGTTGAACTCCCTGAGCTTTTCTTTGTCTGGGAAAGTCTTTATCACTCCATGAGGAACAACTTTGTTGGGTACAGTACTCCTGATTGGCAGTTTCTCCCCCCCCACCCCTTTCAGTCCTTTGAATATGTCATCTCACTCCTGCTTGGCTCTATCGTTTCTGCTGAAAAATGTGCTGCTAGATTTATTAGAATGCCTTTATATGTGATATGTTTCTTTTACATCTTTTAGAATCGTTTCTTCAGCTTGGTGTTAATGTGTCTTGGTATAATCTAGTTTGCATAGAATCTGATTGGTAACATTTGACTTTCCTGTATCTGGATATTCATATCTTTCCCCAGATTTTGGACATTTTCAGCTGCTACTTTTTTTTACATAAGCTTTCTGTTCCTTTGTCTCTCTTCTCCTTTTTGAACTCTTACAATTCAAACACTTGTTCTCTTGATCTGTCTCATAAATCCCATCAGTTTTCTTCATTTCTTTGTTTGCATTTTTTCTCTTTTCTCTTCTGGCTACTTTCAAATAACCTATTGTTGAGTTCATAGATTCTTTTTTCTTGATCAGATCTGCTGATGTTGTCTGTTGCATTTTTTATTTCATTGTCTTTTTCAGCTCCAGAATTTCTTTTTGTAATGATTTAGATTTCTTAAGTTTTTCATTTTGTTCATTGATTGTGTTTCTGGTTTCAATGAATTACCTCTCATTTATCTTGAAATTCACCAAGGTTCCTTAAAATGATTATTTCTCATTCTTTGTTAGTTTGTGTCTCACCATCTCTCTAGGGTCAGCTATTGGGAAATTATCATGCTGACTTCGTGGTACTCTGGTTCCTTGGTTTTGCATTTGTCTTCTTTCCTTACACTGATGTCTGTGCATTTGTTGAAGCAGTCAGCTCTTCCAAACTTCATGGACCAGTTACAATGTGGACAGACCTCCTTCAGGGAGGAAGGTGCAAAAGGCTATGTAGAATGCAGTGGTTCTGGTGCTGGTGAAGGCACAGCTGGGTAGCTTCTGTGTATCTCTGTCAGCAAAGGTTAGTATTGGCAGTGATGCATGGATCCTTAGCATCCAGCACTTGGATCTCTGCAGTGGTGGCAAAGGTTTTTGCATTTTTAATGGTGATAGTTGTTAAAGTTCTCCAAATCTCTTTTTCTCTACCAGAGATGCTGAGGGTGAGGAGATCCCTCTTGCCAGTGGGTCCAGCCTGTGAGTCTTCTTGTTCTGGCAGTGGCATCAGTATTTTATGAATGACACCTGTATAGTGTGCATGGAACCTAGACCTTGAAGTAGGGCATGTGTGGAGAGAATATGGTTCAAGTGTCTGAGAGCCTGGTGCCACTGGGCATGTGCTACATTAGTAACTTTGTGCAAGTTGTGAATGCTTGTGAAGCAGCCAAAAATGGGAGCACAATGTGGTCAGAGTTACACTGCCCTGAGGTCAGGATGAGGCCTCATTTTCTAGGGCCTAGTGGCTTCCCAGAGTGTGGGCACATGCAGAGAAGGACCTGGGTTGTAAGCTAGCTTGCTATGACAGTGGCACCAGTGTCATTGAAGACAAGGATGAGTGCAGCATAGCCACAGAGCAGGGTGTGTGGCCACTCTCAGGGCAGCTACTGCTCAGTTATCAGAGGCATATCCAAGAGGAGAGGTGGTGCTTCCAGCCCTGAAGTGGTACAGCAGTGGCTGCTTCTTGGGTGGGGTTTCTCGACTCCAGTGTTTGTTCCCTCTAGGAATTCCTGATGGCAATGGATGTTGGGTTCCTCAGTGGCAAAAAATGCTGGTGTCCTCTGAGAAGCAGGTCAATTGGCCAGGTGGCCAATACCAACAGCTTCCATTCTTCCTCTTATTCCTAGAAAGCTCCTGGGATCTCAGGTAGCCTGATCTCACCAGTGACCTGTCTGTGTGGAATTCTGGGTTCTGTTGTTCCACAGTGTGGCTGAAGATTCTTTAATGAGCCCTTGAGCCCTCCCAAGGGATTTTGGTTTGTGAATTTCTGTCTATATTTGATTATTGGAATGTTTTGGGGGTGGTGGTGGTGAAGGTTAGTCTTTCCTGTTCCACTAAATTTACTTCTTGCTGAAGTGATTCTTCTAGGAACACTTTTGAAAAGTCCTGTGTATTGTAAACTTTCTAAAGTTGTGATATCCAATATGTCCAACATAATGTAATGTCCAGCCCTGTTTACAAGTGGCTGCTGAGACCTCAAAATGTAGCTCTTTGCTCCATAAATTTCTCAGAGACATAAAATAAACATCTACCTCTGATTTGAGAGGGCACCAACAGTCCAAAGTTAGACAAATGGAGCTTGGTGCATAAAGGAATATATTAAATTTATTTGGTTACAGAGCAGTGGAAATTGCACATCCCCCTTTGCTAAACTACTGGTTTTATAGGGCATTAATTAAAATAGCAAAATCAGAATCAAGAGCAAGAAGAACCCTTAGGAAGAGTTGTGTATACTCTATTCCTATCCTATACTTATCAGGAATTCCAACAGTCTCAGTGAGCACTGTCCAGCCACAGCAGTGGGTGAGCTTGTCATGCTCTTGTCTGGCACAAGGCCTCAGGGCCTGTCAGCAGTGGCCCACCACACAGCGAAGCAGGGCCCACTGCAACATGGAGTAACTGTGGCTAGGGTTAGGAGGACAAGTCTCCCTATGTCAGCTTATATTGAGATGTGCTATGCCTGTAAAATACACACCATGCAGTATTTTAAAGACGTAATACATATTGACACACACAGCATAGTGCTATTCTTACCTCTAAATATGCCAATTTCTTGTATTGTAATTTTTTCTTTTAATCTTTGTCAATAAAAAAGTCATTCAAGGGCCGGGAATTTAGCTGAGTGGTTCCACTGCCTGCTTTGCAAGCGCAAGGTCCCAAGTTCGATCCTGGGTACCAAAAAAAAAAAGTCATGCAAGCTGAGAGCTTCTCAACTGTGTCAGAGAAGCTCTCTACCAGCAGAGGCATGTGGTTAGTAGGTAGACATTCCATTATCTGAAAACTGCACAGAGAGCTTTTCAAGGACTACTGAGTACTGGGAACTCTTTTGGACAATTGAGGCTGGCCTTTGAGGATGCTGTGGGCAGGGATCATGTCACAGTAGCTCTCCATCAAAAAAGGGTGTTATTTTTACATTTAATAAAGCACTTGGGATCAGGATAATTATAGAGAACTTGAGTGAAGGTAGGATGCAGGGATGTGACACACAGGTGTGCCTGTCAGAAGGCACAACGGGACCTGGGCACCCAGCCTGAGAGCCTGGAGGGCAGCAAAGACCAGGGCAGTATGTCTCTGGGTGCTCAGGGCCATCAGGTGGTGCAGTGAATTGCTGAATAGACACTAGCTCCACATGAATTGCCCAACTGTGAAGTGGAGCTGGGGATACTTAACCAAGTTTCCACTAGATTTATAAACACAGGTTTTAAGCACGTTAGGAAGGAGTACAACTCCAGAGTGGCAAAGTGGAACAAAAATAGCAGCACGATTTATTTGCATCACTGGGAAATGAGGCAATACAAGTTAGAGATTCCAACCTGAAGTTCAGAGCTGGGCATCAGGATCTTGATGCAAAATTGTATTGCATTCAAGGGAATTAAATGCATACTTTTGTTTATTTGACTTTTTTTCTAGGGAGACTGTCTAAGATTGTACAAGTTGAGAACTAGCAATCACATGGTTCATTTTCTAGATAATTAAAGTTTTCCCTCTGCTTTATGACAACTTAAATATATTTTGGGGGAGAAAAATATCTTTCTCCATCTGTCTTTCAGTTCATAAATTGAGTGAGCTCTATAAATAAAGCTTCTTTTATTGATTCTATCAGACAAAGTAATTGCACCATGTTATAATTTGGAAATGTTCACAAGGAGTCTAAATACACCTTGGGTTGGTCTTTGCTTCCTTCACTATTGTAGTTTTTATTTCTATTTTCTTCAGAAAATGTTTACTTATTTTTTTTCCCTATGTGTCTTAGGAACTTTCTCATGGCTGGGACAAAATATGTGATACCCACAAGTTAAAGGAAGAGAGGTTGATTTTGGCTCAGAGTTTGTAGAGGGTTCAGGCCATATCAGCTGGCTCCAAGGCAGGGTGGGACAGCAGAGGGGGCTTGGTTACAGCATTGTAGGAAGCACAGAAGGATCAAGGGAGGAGGAGGGATATAAACTCTTCATCCACAGTGCTTCCCCAGGCTTCATCTCCCTACAGCACACTGGGCTATAAACTCATCAGTCACCGAATCTGCTGGTGAGTATCACATTTAGTTACAAAGTCATCAGTGAACTAATCCAATGATGAATGTCACTCCCACATGATCCAATCACCTCTCCAAAGGTACATGAGACTGGGGAGCCATCTAGATATAAACCTTAGCACTTCATGTTAGCCACGGCATGCTGCTGTGCCTGTGTATCTCTCTTCTCCTAATCTGTTCCCTGATTTTACATGGCATTATCTGAGTGAGGAGCTAAAAATAGCAAAGCCTGAATGATGAGAATGTTTTCATTTCCTGGTTTGTGGTTGTACCAAAAATTTACCACTAGATTCATTTAGGCATTGCTAGAGTTAAAACTGAGCAAAGCGTGACAATAGCGTTTGGAGATTGGAATATATTTCCAGAAAATAAAGCCAGAGAGTTGCTGTTTGGTCCTCACTCTAATATACACCCCTCAACCATTGGCTTTATCTCTTCCCAGGCCTCTGAGTGCTGCCAGAGAAGGTCATGCCATCTTTCTGATTTTATACATTCATCATGTCTAATCCCCGCTCGGCCCACTCAACAGTCCTGCTGATGAAGTTTTTTACTCACATTGAAGCCTCCAGGCTGTGTGTTTTGTAACTCCCTACTGGAATGTAAGCTCTGTAAGGGCAGAGAAGTTGCCTTTGTCTTGTTTCCTCATATCTTGAGCAGCCAGGAGAGATGCACTCAGGAACCCTTGAGCAAATGAACTGCTGTCCAGAAAAACCTTCTATTGCAAAATGGCCAGGCTTATTGGACCATCCAGAGCTGAGAATGGAAAAGGGCAGAGGGTGTCACCAACTCCACCCCAAACTGTCCTTTAATAACATTGGTAAATTGGGTTTCTGCAAATTAAGAGCTTCTCTTTATCAAAAAGAATAAAAACCCATGGAGGGGAAAAAGATATTTGGAACCTATCGCACTGACAAAGTGCTCATACCCAGAATATATAACGAATTCGAGCAAATTAGTAGAACAATAGGCAGAAGCCTTGAGCAGACACTAGGGAAAGAGGAGATCCAAAGGGGAAACAAAGCATGAAGAGGTGCTGAGTGCCATTACTCATCAGGAAATGTAAAGGAAGTGACAATGAAATTCCACCCATGAGATGGTGAAATGGAAATGGATAACAGTCCTTTTTCCTACTGCTGTTCCCTTAAGAATTTCTTCCCTACTCTAATATCATAAAGATATTGTTATATGAGTCTTGTATTTGAGTGCAAAATTTTAGAAGATTTTTTTTTTTTTTTTTTTTTTACATTTTTATGTCTTTGGAATCCATTGTGGGGGCTTATGTCAAGTAAAAATTTTCTTTTTTCCACATGAATTTCCTTCATCCCATTGATTAAATCACATATTTTACCAATGGCCCTATCATACCCCTTTCATTATATGTCAAGTTATTATATATGTGGATGAATTTCTGGACTATCTATAATGTTCCAATTTATAAATGTTGCATTTTCCTGTTTGTCTGTTTCTGTGCTTACCGTGGTTAAGTGTGTTGTGCAAAGCCACATGACCATGTCTCTTCACACATCTGTCTTCTAGCTAGATGGCCTTTCTGCTTTCCTTCCCTTCTTACTTCTTTAAAACTCATCAAAACCTCCACACAGTCTTCGAGAGCTATACCTACTGGGCTCCTGAGACATCTGTAGTCGCCACGATCATTATAATCCTGCCAGGCTGTCACTTGATGCCCTGCTGTTTTCCCACAGCTCTGTGAGTTCTTTGAAGCCAGGACTGTGTCTCACTCTCTCTGTATTTCAAGGATGTCATCAAAATTTAAATCATTCTTCAAAAGAAAAATAATGGACAGGCCACAGAAAATATCTGACAAAGGATTTATATCTAAAATACCCAAAAAGCTCTTACAACAGAATAGAACACAGTCTACTTTTTATTTTTTTAGTCTACTTTTTAAACATGAGCAAAATATTTGAATAGATGTTACACAAAATAAGATACATGATAATTGCCTAATCAACTTCACTAATAATAAGGATAATGAAAATTACAACGATAATGAGATACCACTCTATACTATTTGTGGGCATTTGCCTAAGAGAAATGAATGTAAATGTTCAGATGAAGAATTTGTATGCAGATTTTCATAGCAGCATACTCATAATAGGTGATAATATTGTTTGTGAAAAGCCAGCATGCTAGGTATTCACAATGCTTGCCCTCTGCTATATGTTGATACACTTTAGTTAAAAGATTTTTATGGTTAACATTAAATGAACAGTAAGCTTTACGTAGTAAAGAGGAGGTATATAGAGTGCTGCCAGTGAAGAATTGCAGACACAGGCAAGGGTTCAGTGGGAAAGGTAGGAAGCAGGCATGGTCCCTGTGTCCTGCGGTGGTCCCACTGGCCTTCCTGGACAATGTAGCACTTGGATAATATCAGTAAGCAGCCAGGGTTTGGATGAGAGAGAATGGGTCCTTTGGCCCTAGATTAAACAATAACTTCTGAAAAATGTGTCAGTGATGAGAGGAGGTTTTTTCCACCCAGAGAACTCTTTCTGACCAGCATAGTATAATTCTGGAAGGAAGAGATTGGAAAGGAATTTAAGCAAAGTGTCATGAGTGTGGGGAGAAGGACCTCCCTACATTACTCTAGTAGTTACTTAATTTTTCTGAGCCCCAGTTTCTTCATATGTAAACAGAATAAAATAATGTCCCTTCAGAGAGTTATGAGAGCTGAATATAATGGTTGGCAGCAAAATGTTATTTTAAAAAAAGGAGCCCCAGATGGGTTTTATTGGTCTCTGAATAAGCATTGCATTATAATTTAGGATTAAGCATACATAAGACTTTTCTGTCCTTTCTGTCCTCCAAGCGCTTGTGAGTGACAGCAGTAAATATATAAACAGCAGACTTCAGGCTTCCTGTCCCCAGGTAGGAAATGTTGTTGATCAGCACAAAGGCTGAGGGCATCGGTGCTGGGATGATTCACAGAGTGGCCCGGAGTGGGTCTATGCTTGTTACGCAGTTTATTAATTTAATTCCCTTTGGTTGCTCCATGCTCTGTCTAGAGATGAAGCAGCACTTTCATTTGAGGACAAGAAGCCAGCTCACAGTAGGTTCTTGAGTTCCCTGATGCCAAAAATGCTTGGTTTGTCAGACTCTGTGAAGTTGCTTCCTCCCACTGAAATCCTGGAAGTGCACTGTCAGGAGCTGCAGAAATCCCAGGAAATGAGAATAAATGTACAAAACTTCTGCCAAGTCTTCTGCTTCTTTGGATTTTGCCATCTCTTGCTTTATTTTCCTTTAGCAGCTTGAAATTAGGCTAAACTAGGCTAACTTATTTCCCTTCTTGTAGATGCTCCTCATCACTCCTAATAACACAGTGAGGTTTTCTCAACTGTGGATCTGAGCAAGTCACTGACCTCAGGTTAAATCTCAGACTCCAGAGTGAGTTATGTTAGATTTTCTGAGATCTGGCTTATGAAGTGCTAGAAACAGAGAGACCATCAAGATGGCTGCTGTCCGCTGAGAAGATGATGGTGACCTCTACCAAGACAGAGACAGGTGAGATGGTGAGAAATGAACTGTTGAAAAAGCTATTAAGGAAGTAGAATCAATAGGAAGTAAGGAAATACTGATAGGAAATAAAGTAAAATCAACAGGAAGTGAAGTAAAACCAATCACCAGGAAGACAATCACCTGATTGGATGAATGGGGGTGGTGGCCAAAAAGGGTGATGAATAGAAAATCTTTTCCCCAGACTCTTTCCTGAAAACAATGAAGATGGCGCTATCTTTCACTGTAATGGGGAACACAGGAAGCAGAGTGGGTTTTATTCACCGGAGCTTCCCAACGATACAACCTTAGAGGAAAGGCTTACAGTGGGTTTTTTAATTTTGAAGATGCAATACCTGGGGAAATAAAATGGGAAGGAGAGATCCACCCAGTGCAAGGTCTTATTAAACTGGCCACCACCCAAGTGACTGGTTGTTCAATCTCAAGGGCCTCTGAGTCACCTTATGAAATACATTTTGGCACTTTCCCCTGGTGAAGGAGGTGGGGAGCATTGGCAAAGAGTTGCCCATAGGGTTAAATTCCTTTATTTCTGGTTGTGCAGGTCTGAGTGCCCAGGAACGTGACACTGCAAGGGATACCCTGGGATAAGAGACCCGTAGCATCACCTGAGACATGACCATGTCAAATGGCACCTGTGTAAAGATAGTGGAAGCTTGGAGGAATAGCCTTGCACTGGCACTGGATGAAGTAGGGGAGGCTGAAGGTGATAGCATTGTATTCCATCATAGGTGTGCAACAGGTATCCAATAACCACTTCAGAGAGGAACACGTCAAACAGAAAAGACTTGTTTTCTGCCCTGGAGGAGCCTGCAGTCTCGTAGAAGACAAATAAAGTACACAAGGTGTTTTAGTTACTTTCTCATTGCCAGGACAAAATACCTAACACCCAGAAGTTTAAGAAGGAGAGGTTTATTTTAGCTCACAATTTGTAGAGGTTTCAGTTCATAGTCAGCTAGCTTCAAGGTAGAGTGCTGCAGCAGGAGAGCATGGCAGAGAAGAAACAGTCCATAGCATGGCTGGCAGGAGGCAGTGAAACATCAAGCCTCTCTGTCCCTTTTATTCTATTCAGGCTATAAGCTTATTGGTTAGTGCCACCCACACTCAGAGTGGGCTTTCCCATTATCCACACCCAGAACTATGCTAAACCAATCAGTGAACTAATTTAGTAATCACACACCCTTAATCTATATTCACACACCCTAGATCCAGCCACCTCTAAAAAGCCCCACCTGTGAGTGCATGAGGCTTTTGGGGGACATCTAGAAACAAGCCATAATGCAAGGTGGTGAGCGTGCTAGTGCTACTGCTAATTGTTGGGAGTATGCATTTACTCTGTGCCAGGCTTTCCTGAGAGTTCATTCTTTTAAGTCACTAAAGTTCTGTTTACCTCATGTCACAGATGAGGAAATGGTGACACATTGTCAAAAGCTGTAAGTCAATAAGTGGAACAGACAGGATGCAAAACTTTTGAATCCTTTGGAATTATCAAATGAAGTAGATGCTGGGTCTGATGGGTGGGAAGGAACAGGTTGGCCATGAGGGGTTGGGATTATACTCCTGGGTGTGTATGCAGTGCTATTTGTGCAAAGGTGTTTCCAACATGGTTTAATCCATTTGATAATACAAAGCAAAAGTGACCATTACCTTTCTGACTTTACTCTTTGAAGAAGAAACAGAAGCACTGAGAGGTGAAACATCTTCCAAGGCACCCAGAGGGTGGGCGGCCAGTTCTTGCAGCACATGGGGCAGCTGATGGCTAGTGTCATGTGCTTCCTAGCTTGGCTATCAGTGTGAGGCCTGCTCAGGGGCCACAAGCCCATTGCTATCCCAGCACATCCTCAAGTGAGCTAGGCACTAAACAGACTGAATTTTACCTGCAGAATTTTTTTCCCTCTGCAAAACTTTATTTTAGATTTCAAGTTTTTAAAAAAGACAAAAAATGATTCCTTATAGCAAAAAGCAAATGTTGCCTGTAAAAGTGCCTACAGTAGATTCTACCCTGATGCTGGCCATGGAGGGAAATGTTTGTTTTCTTTTATACAACATCTCCTGGGTGTTTCTCCCAGCAAGACAGCTAGGGCATTCATGGACAGCCATGGGTCCCCAAACTTGTGACAGCAGGCATACTCCAGAGAGAAGGTATTAGGTTTCTGTTATGGTTCAGGTCTAAAACGTCCTCCATTTCATGAACATGAAATCTCATGTTCAGAGGTGGGGCTTTTGGAAGGTGATTAGATCATGGGGAAGCTATACTCATCAGTGGATTAACACTTTGGTGAGTTCAGTAACTGAATATGCTGTCAGGGAGCTGGTTGGGGGTGGTTCACTGTGGGTGTGACCTGGAAAGGTACACAGTAAAACCTTGGATTGCAAGTAACTTGTTCTGTGAATGTTCTACAAGATGAGTAAACATTGCTAATAAAATTTAACTTGATAAATGAGCAATGTCTTGCAATACAAGTATTATGTGATGCCAAATGTCACGTGGTTACAACTGAGCCAATGGTTCTCTCTCTCTCTCTCTCTTTCTCTCTCTCTCTCTCTCTCTCTCTGCAGGATTGTGGGTGATCATCTCCCAACAGCAAGAGGTTGTAGTGGAGATCTTGTCTGCAGAGGAGGAGGAGAAAAAGGCAGCGGAATCCCTCACTTCAAATGAGATTAGGGAGATGCGTGAAATGTGGGCAACTGTGCAGAATTTTGTAGAAAAGCACATGAATAAGGCTGTAGCAGTGCAAGCAATGAATCTGTTTAACAATGCAATGTCACATTTCTGCAAAATCCTAAAAAGGAAGCAAAATCAATTGTCACCGGATAGGTTTCTTGTTAAAGCTGCACAAAAAGAAAAAGGTTTCATTGAGCCAAGGATAGCAGTGATTCCATTAATGATAATGAAAGTCATCTCCTCTCTTGTTTCCCTCACATGAGCCATGAAAGTTTTCAAAGGTAAGTGCAGGTTAATTTATTTTTTTAATATTTTGTGTTTTCTTTATTATTATTTTCTATTATATTACAGTATAGTAATCATTTTTATAAGAATACTTTTGGGTTGTGGAATGAATCATCTGAGTTTCCATTATTTATATGGGGTAAATTGCTTTGATATACAAGTGCTTTGGATTACAAGCATGTTTCTGAAATAAATTATGCTCAGAAACCAGGGTTTCACTGTATTCTTGTCTTTGACTCCTGCCCCCCACCTGCTTCCTGGCTGTCCCAAGGTGAGTAGCGTTCTTTCTCGGTGCCCTTCTACAATGCTGTTTCTGCCTTGGAGCCAACTGACCATAACTGAACCCTCTAAACCATGAGCCAAATAAAACTGTTCTCTTTTAATTTGGGGCATTGGGTGTTTCATCCTAGGAACAGGAAAGTCACTACTACAAAGATATTTACATCAGGAAGGAGGAGTTTCCTAACGAATGAGAGCTTGGATTCTTATCCTCCCTAGAGCAGGTGGGCCAGGCCTGAATATGAAATAGAAAAGCCCGAAGTATTTTATTCAAGAATGCCTGGGTTTACTTACCTGGCAAGGGAGATACCATGATCACGAAGAATGCCTGGGCAGATGGTGTTTTGGAGAAGAGGCTACCACCCAGGCCTCCAAGAACCTGGGCTTGGATTTTGTGTTTTCTACTTGGTTACTGGACCCTGGAGGACTCCCTCCCCAGCTCTCAGGACCAGAGATCTTGCCAGTTTGATGGTTAAGGCTGTGGACTGTGGTGGACCAGCTCTGTGTGGGTCTGAATCCTGGTGACAGGGATTGTGACATTGGACAAATCACTTGTACTATTACTGTTCTATTGCCTTGTGTGTAAATAGGAGATGATGGACACCTAAGAAGATCAGATGAGTAACTGTGGGCCACAGGCTAGGAGGCACTTGGCATGTGGTAGCACCAGGTGACATCCACTGTATGATCAAATTAGGAAGCGATCACCCAGCTTTGGGGCTGTTGTGGAATCCACGGATACTTTATCAACTGCATAGGGCTGTGCTGAGGCAGATCCTGCTTGGAACCCTTTCCTCTCCAAGACCTGTCCTCTGTAGAAACTCTGGAACCAATCTTGGAAGACACACACTGGAGCCTGGGATCTCAGCTCACCTCTGGCTCTCCACTCACCACCACCCACCCTTCTCCATAGGCTCCCTCCTACCTGGGCCAGCTGTCCACAGAATCTATGATGAAGAACTCCCCATCCTGTCTCTCACCCCTGAGCTCACCACCCTCCTTTGACCAAGATGCTCAGTGTGATCTTGTCCCTGCCTGGCATCGCCCATCTAACACCAGAGTCCTCTGATGCTCTTCTTCAGCTCTAACTCAGTGGGAAGAGATCCTGGAGCACCATTCTTCTTTGTGTTTGGGGAATGCTAGGACCAGTGCTACATCTGGCAGAGACGGTCAAGGAATGTGTTAGTGTGTGTGTGTGTGTGTGTGTGTGTGCGTGTGGCTATGCGGCTATGCCATCTTCTCAGCAGACCTACCAAGTAGGCACTGTTGATGTCCCTCTTCTATAGAGGAGGGAACTGAGTCTTCAGAGGTTAAATAACTTGCTTGAAATCCAACAACTAAGCAGGAGAACAGGGTTTCCAGCCCAGGCAATCTGTCAGCAGAATTGTGCTTCTCATCCCTAGCATGTGTGGCCCCTGTGGATGAATGAGCATCCACCTGGACATTAGAGCAGAATCGGATTGAGCTGAGTGAGTTGTCCAACTGCAACTTCTGGATTATTTTCTTGGGTGAGTGGATGTATTCGCTGTGACCTAACTCAGCTCCCTGGTTCAGTTGACTTCTAGTGTCCTGTTTGTCTTAGATCTTGGGGTCAGAGGCTGGAGGCACATTTACATTCACCTGAACTGTCCAGGGCTTAAGGGTAAACCTTTGAATCACAACTATTGCTTCCTAGCTGATGACCTGGGGCAAATTAAACCCTTCTAGAGCCTCAGCTTCCCCATGTTTAACTTGAAATGACTCCTAAGTCT